TCTTCTGGGGTGGCGCTTGGAGGTGGGAGGCGGTGGCTCGGCTTCCACGTGGTGTTCGCCTCTTTGCCTCCGCCACCTCCCGCCGCCTGCGGCTGCAAGGCGCAGTGCCCGCCTCCACGGCCTCTGCAAGTGACCGGTTTATTTATGTGTTTGTGGTGCTATTTGACCTAGAATAGACAACATACAAAATGTGCAGGGCAAAGAGTGATTTTGAAATTAGAAATCAGGCAGCGGGCAGCTGCTTCTCTTAGGGATACTGGGGAGCGGGTCGGCCCGGCTTGTGCTGTGCAGTGTCCAGCTCTACTCCGCCGCCTTCCCCGCAGGCTGCCCAGGGGCTAGGGAGCTTTCAGCGAGCGGAGATCTGAAGGCGGAGGGAGACGAGGCCCGCGAGGAGCGGGCGGTGGCTAGTGTTCTCCCCGCGGCGACTCAGAGGCCGTGGGCTTTGGAGAGCGCCCTCTATGGGGCTGCGTTCCCTTGGCTCTCCTGGCCGAACGTCTCCTAGCTGGAGTTGGATTCCGGCACAAGGTCCCCAGGCTTGCTTTGGGTTAGAGGGAATGTCACTTGGCTCCGCAGGCATCTCCGTCTCTTGTCACTTCCAAATCAGGTCGTATTTCAAACCACAAGGTCAGGGACTGCGATCTGGGTGGTCTAGGGGCCTTAGGCTCCTGTTGAATATGCCAAGGTGTTAGAGAAAATTACTCTGGTGCTTGTTAAAATAAAACCTTACTCAAGACTATTGTATATACTCAAGACTATGACAATAGGGGACAGAGATGAAATGCAGCTCAGTATTACAGCAAAGATAGTTGGGGATTTATAGCCAAGGAGCAACTCTGGGAGGGAAGGGGGTGGGGGCGTCAGTGGATGGAAAATTACCAAGAGGAGACATCCAGTGTAGGAGGATCCCTGCTGAACCAACTTAACAGGATTCTTGCTGAAGGCAGAGCAAAAAATGTTAGGGTACGGATAGGGTGAGGATGGATGGATGGATGGGGTGGCGTGCAGCACCATCGGCTCCGGCGTATTGGAGGTGCGCGCTGATAACCAGAGATCCGAGTAATGCAAAAAATTGCAGCACACAAAGAGGTGAAAGAAGAAAAGATTTATTTAAGAAAGGTTCACTTCCCACAGACTGGAAGGGGGCCACTCTGGATGAGTATGGCCCCATAGCTTCCTGGCTTAAATCCTTTCCCCTGGAGATGTTGCAGTCAGATAGGTGTGACTGCCATAATTTCCTTGTTGACCACCTGCGAATGTCTTGGAGACCCTGTGACACAGAGACCCACTAATGTCTGCCCACATTATTACAGCCCCTAGAGAAGGGTGTGACAAGGATCCCAGTGCTCATGTACATTCCTGAATAACATTCCTTAGAGCTAATGGAGGGTGTACTTCCCCTTATCTCCTATGCATTCCCAACAGGCAGCTTGGGGGGGGGGGGGATCCTTGATTTCCCTGTAGACAGTGGCCAATCTACTGGAAGATCAAATCCCCACAGTTCCCCTCTCTGTGCGGTCACAAGTCCTGAGATCTGCATAACTTTTGTAATCACAAGTTTTGTGATTTGTATAACTTTTGCCTAATGCATGATGTCTTAGGCCTTGCAAACTTCCTCCACTCTAGGCAAGCTTGATTGCTGATTCTGCCGGGCCCTATGGACAAAAGCCATGCAATACCTCCGACACCAGGCACCAGGAAGTTCGGACAGAAAATCTGAGGGGGCCGTGGTCACCATGCAGGGAGTATACAATGGGTCAAGGCTGATCATGCTTGAGAAGTCTGGGTTTCTAAAAAAGACAAATTCGGCAAAGTTAATCTTTACCTAAAGTATGCTTTTCTCCAAAACATAACTTCTACTTTCTCATCATTGTGTTAGGGTTTAGGAACAAGATTTTTAAAAATGCATTTCTCCAGGTCATAGCCTCCACTTTCCCATCATTGTGTTAGGGTTTAAGAACAAGATTTTAAAATAAATGGCTTCCCACTCTCAGTCTGTCCTTTCTTTTTTTTTTTTTTTTTTTT